CGGCTGCATGTATCAAGATAATGAATGCTGACAGTATTTTATAAAGGCCGAGATGACTGAAAAACATTGCCAGCCGATGATTCTCCTTAAATCGCAGCCTACTCCGGCAGGCACGGTCGATCAACAAAATCAGAAGCAACTCAAGTGAGAAGAAAACTCGGCCACCGCGGCCTCTGTTCATAGAATAGCATACGACTGACAGACACCACTGTCAACAGGGATTATAGTGAGATTTCAAACCGTCGTCACGTGCAACCACCCTACCTAATATAACCGTTCTCTCCCCCCCCCCCTCTCACACACACAAACACACAAAAAAATATGGGTCGATGCCCATATGTTTACTATATATACATTCTGCATAAACTTCCGTAGAAGTACCTGTGGGTGGCACAAAAAAAGAAACGGAGGTGATATATGTAGTAATTGTTTATCTGTGTACAAATGAGCGAGGTATGCACAGCGAGGCGATGTTCTAATCACTGCGACATTGTCCGTGTAACCTGTCGGAAGGCGCGTTTCTGTTTTCCCCGCCGCCCTTGTCAGCAGGCGAAAGTTAAACGCACCCACTTTAGTCAGCTTGCATTTAGTTTCTTTCGTAATTCATCCAGGTTTACGAAATTCGGTAGAAATGTGCGGAGCATAAACATTAACATAGTACATTTCTTTCAAATTGGATTAGTGGCTCAGAAGTTTCCCCGCCGCACGACTCACGCGAAGACAAACCAAAGGCTTGAGAAAAACAAAAGAAAAGCACAAAGAAAGCAACCGGCAAGCGTGATGACCTGTGAGTGTGATGAGCGTGAAGACCTGTGTGAGGACCGTGAGGACCTGTGTGAGTGTGAGGACCGTGAGGAGCGGTGAGTGTGAGGACCTGTGAGTGTGATGAGCATGATGACCTGTAACAGTGAGGATTGTGAGAAGCTGAGAGTGTGAGTGCCGTGAGGACCGTGATGACCTGTGAGTATGAGGACCGTGAGGATCTGTGAGTGTGATGACCTGTGAGTGTGAGGACCGTGAGGAACTCTGAGTGTGATGACCTGTGAGTCTGATGATTCGTGATGACCTGTGAGCGTGATGACCGTGATGATCTGTGAGCGTGACGACCGTGATGATGACGGCGAGTGAGTTTTGGTTTTGCGTTGAGCCGTGAGGGTGAGTCCGGGTGATGATCCTATTTTGAATAAATCGTGATCGTGAGGGGGCGTGAGTTCTGATTGAGGAAAAAATAGTGATCGTGAGTTTGAGTGAGGACCGCTTAAAATGCCGACCTATGCTCGTGACTAACCGCTGCGGACCCTATACGAGCCATCCCAGCCAACCCAGCACTGTGGCCGTCATGATTACGCACCACCAGGGGGCTTCACGCGCCCCGCGCACCGATGTCATAGTTATTATAACGTACGCTAGAGATTCATCTGGCGCTAGAGCCTAGGCGATTTGTGGGACGCAAATTGAAGCAGACAGCAATCAGTCTATGTTTGCGGTGCTCCTGTGCGTCCCCATGGGAAAACGCGCGTGACCTTTGTCTCTTAGCCGGAGAATAACGCGCACCGATTTTGGCATTAGGCTCGTACCGAATAATATGTACCTTCATTATCATCGTAAAAGTGTAATTGATTTATTCTGTGGGTCGATTGCATTACCGAGCCCAATCAGGACGCACCTCGCTCGTCCCCGAGGAAGGTCGCACAACGCAAAGCGCAAACAAATGTTGTTGTTTTTTTTCTCACTGTTTTCGATCGGGCTTTGGGAGGTAGTGCGCCGTGCCTCCTCCTGATTCCGACCGAATGTCAGTCTGTCCGAGCCTCTCGTGCCCGTTTAGGCCTCTGTGCCCCCCCCCCCCCCCCCCACTCCGTCGTTTCCACCCTCTTCTTTCTCTTTATCTCTAGCCGCCATCTGCACAAGTGACGATATTTTTATTAATCGGTGAACGATGTTAAACTTGGCTATATTCAAGAAATAAACGTCTGCTCCATCGCAGGCGTGTAAAAACAATCGACGATTCTAAGCACAATGACAATCGAAAGGAATTAGACAGTGTTCAAGATTCTCCAGCATTTCGGTGATGCTAATATATTGCTAATGTGTAATTCCTGCCACTATATGAAGATGACCCCGTCGTGCCTTTTTAGGAGCAGTTAAAAACATTAAAAACGTAGATGATAAAGTACTTGGGCTATGAAAGGTGTATAGTTTTATTATATCTTACGCGGGGCAGATTTTATCGGGCACCTGTTCTCTGGCTTCTCCCTATTTTCAAAGATACGAGCGCTCTGGTGATGTTTTGAACGCAGAACAAACATCTTCGTAAGTATGCACGAGCAGAAGAAATTAGACACTACTGATTGATTGCAAATCGGACTATGTCCCATATCGTCTACATTCACATGAAGGTACTGATCCAGTGTAGCTGTGTAGTTCTTGCCATCTTTCTTGGTTTTCCAGATGTCCTTCGTTCACTTGACACGTTAATCTCCCACGCAGGAAAGCTTCCACGTCGTTTTCGCGCTAACAGTGCCCGACAGTGCACATACATGCAGGTATGAAGCTGGTTTAGCCCTGCGTTGAATGCGATGAATTTTAAAGAGAAACATAACTCACCAATATATTAAAAGCATCGGAAAAAGCAACGATGCTTTTGGCGTTTGGAGCGTGTACGCCTTGATAAAATAATATATATCTAATTTAAAATCCACCTACATAAGTCCTAATTATCAACATGAAGAGGAAAATTATACAATCTTGGTGCGCAACAAAGACCAGGACAAAAGCAGAGAAGAGGACACAACAGGGCGCAACTTTCAACTGAATTTTATTGAAAACGTGTTCCGGTATATATAGTCTCAAACATCGTCACAATGACAACAAAACGACAAAAGTAAAAGAAAAACACCAACACAGAGCATAACTGGGAAACAACACTATCTCGTTCTCAGGAAAAACAATTCCTTCTCCGATAATGCAATCGACGGCATAGCAACACACGTGTCTCTTAAATAATCATTGTGCTCGGCTTCTATGATTTCGCGTGTTACCGCGGACTTGCATTTCCCAATTTTTACGCATTCATCCATTAGTGGGGTACAACCGCATGTCCTGTAATGCAAGTTAAGAAAGCCACCGTTCTTTTTTTGCACGTTGTTATTGTGCTCGCGAAGCCGATCATTTAGGCAGCGCCCCGTCTTTGTTGTCACAAGATTGTATAAGATGTCAAAACAACTCGCCCAAACAACCACTCTTGTTGAGGAAAATTAGTAATGCTCCGCGAGGAGCCGGACTTGTTTTACTCCGGATCTTAAGGTAAAAAGAGGTATAAGAGTGTGTTCGCCTCTGACCCGACTCGACGACGACAAGTCGAGCTGCGCGAAGAGGCGATGTATATACATATATATATATATATATATATATATATATATATATATATATATATATATATATATATATATATATATATTTCTGATTTGTTTTCTGATCGCTGCCTTCTATTATGGCAACACTGCGCCACCCGCCACCACCCGCTAAAAAATATCGTAGCTCTGATTTTATCACGCCGAACCGTTTCCAATGAACCGATAACCGCCACATGACATAGCGGTTTCGTTCCCGCTCGGGTTCGAGTTTAAATGTTCGAATATGGTTTCGGTTTTGTTTTGGTTCAATGAAAAAAAACTGTTTTGATCCGGTTTTCGGTTCTTGTTCGGGTTTGGTTCCGCACTAACCGAAACAAGTTAAACATTTGATAGAAAAGAAAAAAAATTAACTTGCGTTCATGCCCCATTGTGTGTAAGTCAACAAATCTCTAGAAAAAATATTAAAAGATATAAAAAACAAAAATCGGCTTCCCAGTAGTATAAATATGCTATATGCATATTCTACGCGTGTACAATAAACTAAGGTTCTTGGCGCAACAGAGACGGCGCAGGCCAGCTGGTTGAAGTTTACAAATTAAACACATAGTCAAACCCGAGACTGGCGGAACAAAAAACAAAAAAAACACGAAAGTACAGTGCAAGATCGGCGTAAAATAGGGTCTATCTCACCCTGTCCACTCGTCTTCTTTCCTCACAATCGCCCGATATTTTTCACACATGTAACTGTCAACTCCTAAGTTTTTTTTTTTTAATGTCTCTAGAGATCTCGAAAATAAAAGAGGACATAAATTTACTTTACTTTGAGTGCGGCACAAACTGCCCTAGGCCTTTTTATTTGTGCACTGAAAAGTACCCCATCCAATCCACAAAACAAAGCTCTACATATCAGGATGAAAGAAAACATCAATGCCCTTTCGAAAGTTTCCGTCCGATCCAAAAATATCAATACCAAGATTACTTGGGCTAGATCCAAATCTGTTGAAAACCAATTGCAAACGAGTCATGGGATCAGTTTTGAGCGAAGTAAAAGGATAAAATAAGGAGTAAACACGCCTTACCCTCTGAGGAACTCGGAAACATACCCAGTTCAGTAGCGCCTTTGAGTCTAGACAACCATTTACAACCTCGTGCAAGAACATAAAATTTCGAATCATCCGTCTAGTACACAAAGGTTTTAAGCCAATCAGATTCCAAATTTTGTTGTATGCATGACATATTCTGGATTGTAAATAACGATCATAAAACACAGTTATAAATTTACTTTGGATACGCCCAATACTAGACGATTCGCTCACTCCAATGGAGTTCCACACGACCGATGCAAACGGAAGGCGGCTTCATGCAAGGAAACGAAAAACCGCTAGCGTTAGGTCTACCCACTAACCAAACCAATCAGAGCTCGGCATTCTGACGTCCTAGAGCCCTCTCGTCTCCTCCTCTCTCTCAGTTTCTCGGCGCATTGTCCTCTATGCCCCTTTTTCGCTTTCGTATTCTACTCACCAACATTCAAATTTTTACCCAGTTCTACGAACTCAGCAAAAATTGCTCTTTCCTACTTTGTTCATGCTCGTGACAATCCGTGTCTGTGTGTGTGTGGCGCGCAGGGGCGAGGGGCAGCCCGGACGCCAAGCGGCTCTACGACGACCTCATCTCGCGCTACAACAAGCTCGTCCGACCCGTGGTCAACGACACCGATCCACTCACGGTCAAGATTAAGCTCAAGCTGTCCCAACTCATCGAAGTGGTGCGTCCTTTTACCCCTTGTATTGGCAACGTCAACCTCGTGTATTTAATCTCCCTTTCTTCCGTCTCACATCTCGGTCGCCAGGCCATGTCCGTGTTCGCTGCACACTTAAATAGGCAGTTTGTTTCCCCCTGCTTTCCTTAACCGTCTTCTCCGCTGGGTGGCGCCGCCGGTTTTAGTGCTGCCTTTTTTTTCTCACTCTAGATTCGGCGTGCTGTAGTTTCGCCGCGTGACTAAAATAGACAACAACGGAGCTAAAATGAAAACGGCAAGGAATTCGGGAAAAGGTAGTGGAAACAGACTTTTTTATGCACTGGAGATTAATGCTTCAGTCATGCTTGTGATCAGCTTGGCCAATAATGAAGTCTTGAAAAGTATTTTTCGTTGAAATTGCAAGTATTTTGGCGAACGAAGTCAATTCTAGAGGGATTTTGAAGCAGGTCGTTAGTTTGCACGCGTGTAACAGGCGCAACGCTGGCGGTCGGAAAGGCGGATGAAAAGATTATCATATACGCGTTTTCGGAGAGCCAGCTTTGAACCTGTTGCACGTGTGGAAACTTCAACGCGCGCCCGCGCTTAGCACGTGCTTCAAATCATGCAAATATTTAGTGGTTCTAGATGACGCTCAGAAAGATTATAGGTAGAATCATGTGTCTATTTTTACAAATTAGAAAGGTAGTTAAGAAGTTGTACGTAAATATCTTTCTTGTCGTCACGATTATCCTTTTATATTATGTCTCCCTCGTCGCGTAACTCAGGTTCAGATACCACGTTAGTGTAAGCAAATTTCACGGCTGTTTTTTTACTAAATTTGTTTGTGTCAGTGTTGCGGAATGGGCACCCCCATTCCATGCCAATTCCATTCCGGAGAATTAGAGCATCCAAAGATTCAATTCCTTTCAACTTCTCGGAATGAAAACACTGGGCCCAATTCCACTGCCTGAATGGCTGAACTTCACCATTCGATTCCTTTAATTTCTTAATGTGGAAAAAAAATGGAAATTGTCTGCCACAATGTGTTACTGGAAAAAAGAAACATAAAGTTGCTAACGTTATCAAATGTGGGCGCAACTGCAAAAGTATGCAAAAGTTTACTCAAATCATTCATTTTACTGAGTCGAAGGATGGTCGCACAAGCGCTTCGTGACACTTGGTGTCACCGCAGAAATCGATCGTGCGGTCAAGCGTAAAAGGTTTCTGAGTCGCAAGAGACGGCAAAAATGTAAACCACCTATTTTCTTCGCAAACGGACCGTGTACCCTCTACAGGTAGATGGTTAGCGTGTTGTTTCTTTGATAAAGCCTTAAAAGTGTCTGGTTCCTGCGTGCCGCAAAAAGAATCTAACTTGCTTTCTGCTTCGAATACTTGCACTATACAACACCGCTGGTCCGCTGTAAAGGTTCTGTTATACTTCGACGTTGAGCGCAGCGAACGCAGCGGGGCGCAGAACGCGAGCCTCTCATTGGCCGGCGAGCAGGAACTCGATATCTACGACCAATCAGAATCCGCGTGCACTACGCTACACCGGGTTTGCTACGCTCCACGTCGGAGTATAACAGAGCCTTTAGAAGCGACGCCGCGTATACCTGCCCCCAATCTCCACGCAGTGCGGCAAGAACAAAAAACCGCTGAAAAAGTACGATCGATGTACGGCGCTAGGACAGAGGAGTGTAGCAGCATATGATAGAACCTGCCTTAAAATGCACACTTTTACGGTTGCTGTACGATTCTTGCAATATCCTAACATATTCAATCAAATTCTTTATTTCTGTTCCACGCAAACACTATATAAGATCGGCAGGGTTAAAAGTAGGGAGTCGAACTTATTATTTTTCCTGTTCGATTCTGGTTTAGTCGCATTGAATTTTGTTCCAGATCGGTTCTGGTTCAGTGATTCTTTTGAAATAACGGTTCGGTTAACAGTTCCGCCAAGGGCGAACCAGTGTAAACCGGTTCTTAAAAAAAAAAAAAAAAAAAAAGGTTAAGGTTTTTAGTGGTTAAGAATATAATAATAATCATTAATAATAATAATCGCTTTTATTTACAATATACATAACATATGGTGGGAGCTAAGGAAAAAAAGTTGTCTAGGCAGCTTGACTGGTCCTCAGCCCCCTTACAGGTATACAGCGGCTGCAAAAGCATATAAAATAAATTATATAAAGCAAAAACTAATAAAAGCAAAGAGCAAACAAAAAGCACCCACGAGGGAATCAGTGTAATAACATAATTACTTTTATAGAAAAATATCTCATAATATCAGAACAAATAGCAAACAAAAAAACACCTACGAAAGAATGAGTGTAGACAAATAATTACTTTGATAGAAAATATCTCATAATATTACACATGCTACAGGATTCTATATCGAAGATAGACCAGATCATTTTGTTCATAAACGTTGGCAGTGGTTTTTTTAATCATCTGTAATCCATAGTTAGTGTAACTATAGGCATCTACTACCCAGAAATCGGAATGGCGAGTGGAATATACCATAGGTTTATTTCTGACGGATGCTAAGCGTATCAAAAAGCTGTTTATATCTCGATATTCCTCTTCATATCTTACACACAGTCTAAAATCATGGTATCGAAATACATTTAGAACAACCAGCCAACATAAATTTCGTTAGTATGAAAATTATTTGGCAAGTTGCATATGATCCTTAGCACCCTTTCCTGCAGTAAAAATAGTTTTTGCAGATTAGGTTTTGTGGTAGTACCTCAGACTAGATGACAGTAGTTCAGGTGAGATAAAAATAACCAGTTATATAAAATCAGCTTAACTCCCACAGGAAGAACATGACGATGCCTATGTAACATGCCAGTTATACGGGCAAGTTTAGAAATTAAATAGTCAACAAGTTCGGTCCAAGACATGTGCTTTAAATAAATTACCCCCATAATTTTAAATTTTAGAAAAGAAAAGGTTAGTTAACTACGGCATCATCTGCACTAAAAAAAGGTCATCAGAAGCCGTGCTGCTGAAACAAGGACAGCAAAACAAATCTTTATCCTCTTTCGTTTTGTAATCTTGAATTTTTAACGCAAACACCATTGAATGAAAATTACGTGGTTGTACGGGCGCTTGGAAATAGTACCAAAGTAGAGCACTCACATGTGAAGTCAACCAGCCAGCACGCACAGTGACAGCGGGATGGTAGCACGCCCCATACTCTCAAACTAGCCACAAAAAACAAATCAGTCGAAAAGTGGTTAGACCGCAGGAGTTTAGTCTGGCAGAGTATGGCAGCAGTGTTACCCACTCTAGATGAAAATATCCGGTGCAGCGTGGGTCTTGAACGGATATCACGCAGTACTGATACTCGGCCATACGCCGGTGCGATGCTTATCAAGATCAAAACGGCACCCACACCCCACACCCGAACGACTTGCTCGAACGACTGAGTTGAAGAGGAGAAAGACAGCAAAGGCCCGTCGAAAGACGAGTAAAACAAAAGACAAAAAAATACAACAGTTGACTTGCTGTTTCTAAAAAACGCACACACACACATATATATACACACACAGACACGCACGCACACGCATACAGAAACACACACCCACACAAAATTACTTCAAGAAGCGTGCGGGGCTCCCTGCGACTTTCGTTCCGGCGACCGGCGCCGCAGTGTCGCGCTCGTCGCGGCTTCGCCTCTTGGTGCCTCCAGATTTCGCCTCCGCGGAACAAACGCGCCGACAGCCGTAAGCTTTTTGATTTGATTTTTACGTTTATATTTTCTTTATCCTTCATTGTGGAATATTGCTTGGAAGCAAGAACATAACATACACACACACACACGCGTGCACACAAAGAATTGCTCTTTAGCTTCTCGCCCTCGTCAGTAATACTCAGTTTCGCTTTACGACGTACCGCGATGGACGCTACAAGCTACATGGGCCAATCCGTAGTTCGTAGCTTGTCTCGTGAATTCGCGCTCTCCAGGTCACTCCGCCCCACCGGAAGGACACGTGACGCCCTCTGAGCTATTAACTGACTCCGGTGGCTGGTAGCGTCTTTTGAGGTCCATCGCAAGGTAAAACCAAGTATACAAGTGTACGCCTTTACGCTGACTCGCCGACACCAATTTGGGCCCTACATAGACGTGAAATATACTTATTTTTGCATCCTCGAAGGAGCTTAAGCCAGTGAGGCATTGAATGTGTCAGTCACCTTCAGTGCAATGATGTTGTTTTAAGAGCCACTTACCATGCGCTAGCGAATTGCGCCAACAGCCCGTATAGGCCCTAGTTAGAAATCGACGCAGCTCACATAAGAACCGAGGCCATTCCATTTCCACTCCATTCCCCCCAGCGTTCCCGCCATTCCATTCCCATTCCATTCCGGGGTCGCGAAAGTGGAGAATGATTCCGGAATCTTTCAATTCCCGACTGATAAATCCCGCAACACGGTTTTGTAATTAAATCAAACAACTTGTATACGTAGTTGCCTGTACCCCAAAATTGAGTTTAGTATCTGACCTTCACTCTCAAACAATGTATTTTTGACAAAATAAATCGTGTTTCATTAAAAGGTCCACCCCTTGCTCCCCCTTCAACACAAATGCAGGATTACGAGCATGCCCTGAATAAGAAAACTGGGACATGCCGCCAACCATCCTAAAAGCAAATGCTACTATGCATTACGTTTTACGCGTGTGTGTTGTGTGCATCTGCTCGTGTTTGTGAGGGGCGGATTTATGGGTCAGGCTTGTGGGGGGGGGGGGGGGGGGGGGGGTGGACTCGGCTGGATGGGTGAGTCTGCTCAGATATGACGTTACGGCCAAGACTTGGCCCAGATCTATTTTCTTGACCCAATATTGTCTATTTCACCAAAAACTAAACGTTTAGCTGGTGTATATCAGTTGTTTCATTTAAAAAAGTTTACCTTTGGGGGCTTAAAGGGAAAGAGCGGTCGCCTCCCCCCCGCCCCTCCCCCCCTCGCCCCCCCCACCCCTCCCCCCTATATCTGCCCCTGGTGTACGAATGTATCTGTTTGTT